TATAATGGATCAAACCAACCCCCAAAACCCCAAAACCCCAAAACCCCAAAACCCCGTTATGTAGAAAAGTTAAAAAGAGTGTTGGTACTTAAAAGAATTTAACGTAATAATTTCGGCACGGCACCTTAACTTTTATATTAATTCTTAAATAATAAATACTTATATAAATAAATATTTCGATTCTAACTTCCTGCAAAAGTTAAGATAACATGTACAAACTAAAACCCTTATTAGTGATTGGGTTCGCATACTAATTAGCAGCTTAATAATTTACGATAAGCTCTTTTGTTTAAACCATTGATGACTGCTTAAGATTCGGTGAACTAATCGATTATACTTACAATCTCGATATTACAGCTTCATTATAAAAACCTTATGGAAATCAATACGAATTGGTACAATGCGATTTTGCAGGAATTTGTCCAGATAGTATACTTAAAACAACTTGTGTTTGGCAAAGATATTTATCAGTCGATTGTTCAGGATCTACGAATTCACCTCGTATTAAAATCTTTTCTAACTCTTTGCCCAACCATTGTTATTTCGCATAAACTTCATACCCGATTGGTTCAAGTTCAAGCTATAATGCTTACGGCTTTGATGTTGCTTTCAACTAAATGATTGGATCAATGGCAATAGCTAGCTAATATGGGGAGGATGAGACAGTTTATAAAACCAATCTCAGAACTGAAACAGATCTCAATAGTTAACTTTGCTCTGATTCCTGGTCAAAGGCTAGTGAAGTCGATTCTGCTGCTGGTTATAATGAATTTATTTGGGATACAAATGCCGACTAAGCCACAGGTTAATGGATTACCGAAGCTAATGCACCTAATTATCCATTGCTAAGAATGCCTAATAGTAATAGAATAGTTGGAATCGCCTTAAATGGAGTCTTTTTCTTCACTGGTACTTCAGAATAAGGATATGATGCATTCTTCCCTAAAAATTATAATCTTGGAGGAAAAGTAGATAAAGTAGCTGTAGATCAGTGCTTAGGATCAGCTTAATCACATAATACTTATAGGTATCATATGTATTCTCCATGTATCTACACCGGTATTAGCTTAAGAGATTTTCCAGCTTCATGTTCTTTAATTGCTTCTTGTGATGAAGATGTGACAGTTTATGCAACTAAAAATACTCCAGTTGAAAGACGCACAATCACTCCTATTGGACTGGCAAAGGATGGCAGAGTCATCTATGGTCCTTTCAAAATGAACGGAGATTTATGGCAACCATGCGATGTTGATGTTTGTAATGGAAGATTGTTTGGAACGAGTTATGGGTATGTTACAACAATGTTCCATCCATATACAATCTCTTGTTTCGGTCCAGGAAATAAGCTCTATCATGCCAAAGTAGGCTGCTCATAAAGACCTAGAGAATGTACGAACGCTGTTTCTCTATTTAGTAGCTTCGTCATTTCTTTTGGATTTATAATGGGAGCTCTAGCCCTAATCTTTTGATGATAAATATCCCAAGCTTAGCAAGAATAACTTTTAAACTAAAATAAATTAAATCTTTTCCCTTTTATGTCCTTTAATAATTCCTAATATGTTTAATACCTTTTCGTTTCAGATCTTGAGATGATTGACTGATGGGGTTTTGGGGTTTTGGGGTTTTGGGGTTTTGGGG